AGAAGAAGAAGAAGAAGAAGAAGAAGAAGAAGAAGAAGAAGAAGAAGAAGAAGAAGAAGAAGAAGAAGAAGAAGGGGCGGCAAGATAGCTCAGCGGCCTAAAGCAACTGCTTAGGCAAGTTTAGGCAAGCACTGCAGGACCGAAGTTCAATCCTCACCATAACATGGTGCTCCAGGCCCCGCCCCCAGGGTGGGCTGAGCCGGCCATAAAGATAAATTAAAAAATAAAATAAAATAAAAAACCAAACCAGGGGCTAGGAATATAGCTTATTGGCACAGCACCTACCTGGCAAGTGCAAGGTCTTGAGTTCAACTGCTGCTACCAAAAAAAAAAGGTACCAAGAAAATTAATTAAAACCAGGGCTGGTGAGATGGCTCAGTGGTCTAAAGCACCTACTTAGAACAAGCTTAGCAAAGCACAGGGACCGCGGTTCAATTCTCCAGCACCACATGGCAGCCAGCCTGCCCCCTGGTGGGCTGAGCTGGCCACACACACACACACACACACACACACACATAAATAAATAAAATTTAAAAAAGATTAAAACCAACACATACACCAGTAAGATTTAGTAAACAGTGTAGGTTAACAATGGAAAAGTTAACCTTTCTTCCAAGTTTGGGCTGCCAAATAAAATACAGGGTGCTTAGTTACATCTGAATTTCAGATAATGAATAAAGTATAGATTCCTATTTTTTAAGTATGCCTCAGACCATATATGAAACATACACATTGTGTGTTTGTTTGTTTGGTACCAGAAATTGAACTCAGGACCTTGTGCTTGCCAGGTAGGCACTTAAGCTGCTGAGTTATCTCTGTGGCCCAAACATATAATTATTGTTTATCTGAAATTCAAATTTAACTAGGTATCAAATCTAGCAATACTATCTTACGTTCATAAGTGGGTAAATGTTGATTCCAAATCTGTCTGAACACTCTGCTTTGCACTCAGTAATAGATGTTTGAATTTCATAGTTCAGTTAAAATTAAAACAACAGACCTTGGCTGGGTGCTTGGCATGCTGAGGCAGGATGAACTGGAGTTTGAGGTTGGCCTGGGCTATTATAGTGAGTTCAAGTCCAGCCTAAACTACATAGCAAGACCCTTTCTCAAAAGACCAAAACCTTTTAAAAGGATAGACATAATATAATTACTTTTTCCCCCAAAACCATTGAAGTTACCTTTTTATTTTACCAAATAAGTACATAATAAATAGAATGACTACTAGATGCTGTTGCCATGATTACTCCTTACAAAGCTAAAAGTATGCACTTGAGAACAAATGGCAGTTCTTTGAAACAACAAATTAAGAATCTGGGTGTGGTGGTACATATACCTGTATTCTCAGCACTCTGGAAAGCTGAGGTAAGAGGATAACAAGTTCAAGTTCAGCCTAGACAACTTGGTGAGATCTTGTATGAAAATAAAAATTAATTTTTTAAAATATTTATTTATTTATTTATTTATTTATTTATTTATTTTGTGTGTGTGTGTGTGACCAGTTCAGCCCACCAGGGAGCGGGGCTGGCTGGCATGTGGTGCTGGGGATTGAACCGCGGTCCCTGTGCTTTTGCTTAGCTTGTTCTAAGTAGGTGCTTTAGATCACTGAGCCATCTCACCAGTCCTAAAAATAAATTTTTAAAAAGGGCTGGGGATGTAGCTCAATATGGTGACCTGAGTTTAATCTCCAGTATGGTGAGAGGTCAATCTGTATGAAAAACTCGACACAACTTTCCTTTCAAAGTGGGGGCACATCCACTTAACTTTTCTCTATGACTAGTGACCCTCTGAGGACTAGCATTTACGACTCTGTAACCTAGGGTTCCTCCAAGGAGCCCCTGGGGGCCTAAGGTGGGTATGTTTGCTGATTTGGCAAGATGCTGCAACCCTTAGAAATAGTGCCAAACCAAGTGACTGGAGAGTTCCTGAGTTTGGAATGAACTCATGGTCATTTTCTCTCCTGGCACCTCCCCAAGCCTCTGCTTCTTTCTCCACGGTCATACTGCCTCCCCATCCAGTTCCTTTTGCTTGGTCCCTTTCCTACAGTTCTCATGAGATTCAAGGTGAGTTAGAGGTGCAGGTCCGTTTTGGGAAGCCCCTCAGCTGAGTTCTGTTTAGTTAGGTTTTGTTTGGCCAGGGCATCAGCCTCTTATCCTTGTCCCACAGAGACCTTAAACATGGACCAGACAGTTTCTGGGCAGAGCCTCCATGACCATCTCCCATCATTCATCCTGCTACCCCACCCTTTGCCCTAGAGTCTCATCTCCCGCAGTCCAATCCTCTGCTGGCCAACAAGATGCCTTTGATGTGAAGAAAAATCAATTTGGCCAACTTCTGGAAGGTTCTGCCTAGGGGCTGCAGCAGGAGTCTGACTTAAGTGCAGAAAGGACAAAGGCTCCCCCGCCCCCCCAGGCAGAAAAGGTAAAAAAAAAAACAAAACCCAAAACCTGGATGTTGTGTTGAGAACCTCTCCAATAGTAGCTGGGAGACACTGTACAGGGGCACCTAAACCTGCCTAACCCCAATTCATGTGAGGTTAGCAACGAGCCCCTCTGGTTTGTGTGTTTGTTTTGAGGCAGGGTCTCACTGCGAGATGCAGTTCAGGGTGGCCTTGAGCTCACTGTGTAAGCCCAGGCTAGTCTAACAAGAAAGGATCCTCCTGCCTCAGCCACCTGAGTGCTGCCATTACAGGCGGACACCAGCACCACCACGATGCCTGGCTGGAGCCCCTCTAATTTGACCGGCCTCCACCATCATTCCACCTGCTGCTCACCTCCCTACTGAGGTGGGGGGAAAAATGAAAATCTGTTCTGCTTTTGAATTCTGATAGTCCAGAATGGGAGTGGTTCTGCTGTGCATCACGAAGTGAGTAGAGTGTGCTTTTGGATCTGGAAGGGGAAAGGAGTAGCAGGACCTTCTCCGGCCCCTCCTCCCTGACAATGGGACCTGCGCCCCACCAAGAGTGCCCACAGCTGCCCTTGAAGGACGAGAGTGGGGGAGTCTGGCTCCTGTGGGTATGTGGGGTGGGCTGGGGAGGGAGGAAGAGCTCCCAAGTGGAAGAACGGATAGTGATGGCAGTCGGGATGGCCTGTAATAAAGGGAGTGGAGGCTCTGCGGACCCTCTTTCCTTGGCCGACTCGCAGGCACCTCTTGGTGTTTCAAGTTCAGGTCCCCCTCAGTCCCCTCGCCCTTTCCAGGAGGTGGAGCCTGAGGGAGGGGCAAACAGGACGTGGGTGTGGGGCAGGATGCTGAGACTGAGCCGGGCGGAGAAGGCTGGGAGGCAGGGCCGCCTCTGATCGTTAGAGGCGGGGACAGGAAGCGCGAGGAGGGCAGTGTCCGCCCTGCGGTGGTCGTCTGCGCCTTGCCCCCTGCGAAGCAAGCCCCGCCCCCGCCGCCGCCGCCGCCCCGCCCAGGCCCGCAGCGCGGCTGCAGCGCGCGGGCGGAGAGGCAGAGCGCCGAGCGCGGACCTGACGCCCGGGTCGCCAGCATCTCCCTGCCGCAGCAGGCTGTCAGCGCGCCCCGGCCTTGCTCCCCTTGCTTTCTTGTGGCCGCCCCGGCTGCTTTCTTGGCCCCAGCGCCCGAGCACCTGCCTCTGCCCCGGCCCAGCCGCACCCCTTCCTCGGGAGCACCCCGCTGCTGCAGCCCGGGAGGTACCCAGCCCCGCGCCGGCGACCACCATGGCGGAGACCAACAACGAGTGCAGCATCAAGGTGCTCTGCCGATTTCGGCCTCTTAACCAGGCCGAGATTCTGCGGGGGGACAAGTTCATCCCCATTTTCCAAGGAGACGACAGCGTCGTCATTGGGGTGAGTGCCGCTCCAGGAGTGAATTAGAGGAGGGGGCGGGAGGCAGAATTGTTTGGCCCGCAGAGCCTTAGTGTGTGCCTGTCCCTTTGCATCCTCTCCCCGCCGCACAGTCTTCAACCTCTGCGCCGCAGCCCCTCCTCTCCCCTGCATCAGGATGGCTGGGTGTGGCTTTACCAGGCCTCCGGGCAGGTCTCTGCAGAGTGGGAGAGGACTCCTTCCCTACCCGCTGGAGACCAAAGCCCCCTTTGCTACTCTCTGCAGCGTCCCCACCCCTTAGAGCTAGTCCTGTGTTTTATTCCCCCCCCATAAAGCGCATCTTCCCTTTGTTATTGGCTTAGATTCCACCCCCCCATCTCCCAGGAAGGGAGGAAGAAGGGTGGAGGATGGGCTAGATTGAAGCTGGGCTGTCCCAGGTCTGGTGAAGGTCTAATGGGAGTGGGGTGTAGGACCAAGATTTCGAGCAACCTTTGAAGTATTTACACCCTGGCGTGTGTGTGTGGGGGGGTAGCATAGATTTTATGAAGGGTTTTCTGAGATATACATTGGTGCCACACCCAGTTATGGGGGGAGCCTATGGAATCCTAAGGACTTGTCTGCCTTTCCATCTCAGGAACAGAAGAAACAAGATTTCAGACCTCTCATCTGAGCCCTGCCAAGTAAAAATGACCAGGCCCAGAGATCCTATTGTGGGCTTGCTTATTCATCCTTTCTCTTAGTGATCCAATAAAAAGTAGCAACGGACCTCCACTTCACAGTGACACAGTCACCCATGCAGGAGATCTCATTCTTCAGGAAAAATATTTACTGTGTGCTTCTTACGCTGAGTGTAGTGTTTAAGCCTCCAAACAATACTCTTAAGTAGTATCAACATTTCCATTTCACAGATGAAGAGATTGAGGCCCAAGGAAGTTGAATGACTTTCTCAAGGTCATCCTCAGAATCCATAGATCTGTTCAGTCTACAGATCTGAACCCAACTCTCTGTCTCCAGAACTCACATCCTTTTCTTTTATATCATATTATTTCCTCAGATTTTTGCTCTGGACCATTTATATCTGTGATGGTCCTAAGGGAAATTCTACCCAGACCTCAGGGTGTGTTTGGAGTGAAAGGGTCTCGGGTTGAATCCTTTAGGGCTTGAGGGATGTTGGGAGGGGATTGAAAGAGGAGGGGTGTATCTGAGGACAGTCCTGAAGGTCAGGGACTTCTTTATGTGTTTTTGATCCACTGTGCTGGGCATAGAACAACTGGAAACATGCTTGTTAAAGGAATGAAGAAATAAGGGAGGAAGCCTAGGTTTTGTGAGTCAGTGAGAACGGGAATTTCCTAAACATGCCAGAGGAAGAGCCTCACCTCACTCACCCACACTGTGAACCAGTACATAGTACTTTTGCTATGTATAGGTGTCATGTGCTTGATGAGAGGATCCTGGATTCTTTTGCTTCAGAGACCTGAGGCCTTAAAAGCCAGTCTGTCTGTCCAGGCTAAAAGAAAGCCCAGACCAAATGAACTCTGACAGCAGATTTTATCTATGGTCCTTGGAGTTTTGGTCCTGTTGAGACAAAGGCTGATAAAATGGGAGGAGAGTGGTCCTGGGGAGCAAATTCACAAAAGGCTTCTAGGTCTGATTTCCTCGGTCCACTTCTTGGGTCTCTGAGGGCCATTCTGGTGTGTGGGATGAGTGGGGCAGGAGGAAGGGTTGCACTTTGATCTATGCAGTGAGCTCAGCAAAAAAGGAGAGCGCAGAAGGTGGGGCAGGAAGAGAGAGGAAGAGTGGCCCAGGACCCAGTTGGTGGTTCACTTTCTGCTTGAGCCTTCTACAGCCTGATTACTTGGAGGACTGTATCTTTGTCTCACTCTATCTTTCCAAGCCCTAGTCCTCCTATCAATCTCTCACTGAAGATAAATGCTTGCACGGGGCCATCTTGTCTCAGGACTTGCCTTTCCTGATTGATTTACTTTCATTTTTCTTCAGTGGAATGAGCACCACCAGAGACATGATTTTGAGATCTCCGAGAGTCCCAGCAAGGGAAGAATGTCTCCTACTCTCTCTTTTCTTTTCTTTTCTTTTCTTTTCTTTTCTTTTCTTTTCTTTTTTTCTTTCTTTCTTTCTTTCTTTCTTTCTTTCTTTCTTTCTTTCTTGTGATAGGGTCTCACTGTGTAGTTCAAGGTGGCCTTGAACTCACTATGTAGCCCCAGGCTGACCTCGAACACAGCCATCCTGCTTCAGCCTCCGTAGTGCTGGGACTACAGATGTGGGCCACTAGGCCTGGCTTCCTCCTTTTTCTTCTTGCTCTTGTTGGAGGCCAGTAGGTGGGGAACTGTCTGAACATCAGTGGAGGAAGCTGCTTCAGGATCTCTGGGAAGATGAGGGAAGAGGGAAGGCAAAGGAGGGAGAAGATAGTCTTCCAAAAGCCAACTCCTGCTGTCTCCTGTGACAGCCTTCCTCTGGGCCTCTGCAGCACTGTGGCTAGCTCTGGGTGACAGAGGACCTTATATAGGGGCTGCTTGCAGTGTAGGAGAGTGAGGGGAGAGCTTTGTGTGCCTTGTTTCTCCCCAACTCCATGACTTCTCCCACTATTCGGAGGGGGCTGGCAGCCAAAGTGAAGGCCTGAGTCATACTAGGATATCTGTGCATCTTGTGTGATTTTTTTTTTTTTTTTTTAGACAAGGTCTCACTATGCAGTTCAGGTTGGCCTTGAGCTCACAATGATCCTCCTGCCTCAGTGCTGGGATCACAGGCATATGCCACCATGCCCAGCTGAATTTTTCATTGAGCCCCGTTATAAGGGTCTCTGTCTTTCTCTACTCTACCTAATCTTTCTAGGTAGGGGAGAGATCTCTCTCTCCCTCTCTCCCTCTCTCCCTCTCTCCCTCTCTCCCTCTCTCCCTCTCTCCCTCTC